AATATATTGAGTTTATTTTACACTTAAATTTTGACGCTTATTTTTATTCTTAATTAATCAAACCACATAATTAAGCAATTAAGCACAAAACACATAATACTCAAATAATACACTTATATTATTTCAAAACGGGTTACAAAGGTTAACCTAGACTATTACATTGCTAAAAATGGCAAGCCCAGAAACACAGGCGTTACAAATAGCCCTAAAACAAGATCTAAGAGATAGATGGTCAAGGTTCAAGATTTTTTTACCTTGAATGAACTGATAATGAAGCAAAACCTATGGATCTACTAGCTCCCACTTGAACTCCCAAGCTTGCTTGTTCTCTTCCAACTTCAAATGCACACAAATGTCACCAAAAAGCTCAAGAACACTCAAAAGAGGATTAGGGTTCGAGTTAGGGCATTCTCTGGGTTGGGAGGAACAATGGAGGTTGGGTTGGGGTGTTATAAGTTGTTTAAATAGTGTGCAAACCCCAAATATTAGGGTTTCATCCAGACAGTCCTACTCATTGAGTCGATCTCCCGACTCGTCGAGTACGTCAGTTATCCCACTGATCCAAAGTCGAATCTACTCAATGAGTTAGGCCTCCAACTCGTCGAGTCCCAAAGCAAAACATGAGTTTACTTTAATTAAAATATATACCAGGAACCGGGTGTTACAATATATCTGTGGAGAAGTTGGCAGACATTTATGTACGAGAGGTAGTGGCTAGTCACGGGGTACCAGTGTCGGTAGTCTCTGACAGAGATGTTCAGTTTACATCCAGGTTATAGAAGAAGTTCCATGAGGAACTGGACACTCAGCTACATTTTAGCACGACGTACCACCCCCAGACTGATGGCCAGAGCGAGAGGACGATTCAGACACTGGAGGACATGCTTCGGTCATGCGTGTTGGATTTTGGAGGGAGTTGGGACATATACCTCCCATTGGTAGAGTTTTCGTACAATAACAGTTATCATGCTAGTATCGACCGAGATTTATTCGAGATGTTATATAGTCGGAGGTGCAGGACCCCGATTTGTTGGGACGAGGTTGGGCACCGGGTCATGGAGAGCTCTGAGGTAGTGCTCAAGACTACTGGGCTAATTCAGCAGGTGCGCGATCGACTGCAGGTCGCACAGAGTTTTCAGAAACGTTATGCCGACTGGTGGCGATTAGATATTGAGTTCCAGGTGGGGGATTTTGTGTTACTAAAGGTGTCGCCCTGGAAGGGGATCATCAGGTTTCGGAAGAGGGGCAAGCTGGGGCCTCAGTACATAAGCCCGTTCAGGATCATGGCCCCGATGGGCAAGGTGGCATATCGCTTGGATATGCGGGAGGAGCTTAGCCAGATTTACAACATGTTCTACGTGTGTCATCTTCGGAAGTGTGTCACTAACGAGTATGCAGTCATTTCACTGGATGATATTCAGGTAGACAGGAGCTTGAACTACATCGAGAGGCAAAGGGTCTTCGGAACAAGGAAGTGAAGCTTGGAAAGGTGCAACGACAGCACCATAGGGGCTCCGAATAGACATTTGAGCCGGAGTACGAGATGCGGGAGCATTATCTCAATCTATTCACAACTACAGACTTCGAGGATGAAGTCTAGTTCCAGTGGGGGAGAGTTGTAACACTCCAAATCATGTATTACCTCGAAGCCCTTGAAGAATTTTAAATATAGCATAATAAGTCACTAAAGTATGCTAGGCGTACTTATGGGTACGCTTAGCATACTTTGCAAGAAGGATCGCGGAGGGTCAGCACGTACGCTGGGCGTACGTGACGGACATATAAAACCCTAATTTTTGTACTTGAGGCCTATTTAAATGTCCTTAAGCCTCTTGGACCTAACCCTAGGCAGCCTCCACAACCTTATTTCACCCTTGTACTCCAGAGAGAGTTTGTGATATCATTTTTGAGCTTAGAGAGTGCATTTGGGGGTATTTTTGTGTCCATTCAAGAAGGAGAAGTTGTCAATCAAGCTTGGAGTAACATTGGGCTTCAAGAATCTGCACCTAGTTCACATTGAGGAGCTTCTGTAGGTATAAAGTTTTGATATTTCCATCTTATTCATTAGATCTAGTTAGGGTTTTCTAGTTTGGTCCCATTTTGTTGGTTTTGGACCTCCTCTTGTGAGTTGAGAAGCTCCAGAGGTTGGAAAGGTTAGATATGAGGTCCTTTGGTCCATTTATAACATAAAAATGAAGTCTTGATGGGTGTTGTGACCTCATGCATGGATTAGGAACCTTAAAAAGGTCTTAATGGGGGTTGTTGGGAACATATGAGACATGCAAAGGCATAAAGTTGTCAAATTTATGCCCTAGGTCATCTTAATAAGCTTAGATTTGACTATTGGACGTGAGAAAATCGAGTATTAAACACTTAATGGAGAAAGTGCTTAACCAACTAGTACGTTGGGCGTAATCTAGCATACACAACACGTAAGGCCCAGGTGCTCAATACATTGCACGTACCAGGGTGGTACGGTAAACATACGCACAACAGATGGACTTGGATTTGTTTTGGTCCTTTGAGCTTTTGGGCCTCAATTAGTCATTGGGCTTGATCTTATTTTAGGGTTAGGGGGCCAGTTTATTTGTTTTGGACCATGGATGTTATGATTGGGCTTTCTTGGGCCATGAGGCCCATTAATGACTTTGGATATGGACTTTAGGCCCATTAGCTAAGAAAGACCTTTTAGGCCTTTGTGAAAGGACTTGGGGATTTGGGTTCCCCACTTAGATGGTGTTTGATCCTAACATTGGGTACTATTATTATTGTTCAGCACGAGTGTATATGGATTGTTAGGAGAGCAGCCTTCGGATTCTACGTACAAAGGTGAGTCTTCTCACCATATCAATGGGTCTAAGGCACCAAGGCCGACCCATTTTATGTTATGTGGTACACTAGCGTTTGTAGAGATATGTGGTATGCTAGTGATTGTATGTTATTGCATGAAAGACCCCGGGGGGTGGCAATTGGATATAAGACCATATGGGGTGTCCCATGACATTCCCATGTAAAGACCATGTGGGGTAGCCCATGGCACGATGGTGTAAAACCCTGGGGGGAGCCCACGACATCCTTATAGGTTTATGCATGTGTATGTAGTATGTTAGATAGTTCTGTGATATGATATGCTAGGTTGATTATGAATGTTATTGCATGAAAGACCCCAAAGGGAGCCCATGGCAGTTGGATGTAAGACCATGTGGGGTAGACCTGTGGCATACCCTGGTAAAGACCATGTGGGGTAGCCAATGACACCAAGGTGTAAGACCCTGGAGGGAGCCCACGACATCCTTACAGGTTTATGTATGCATGGCTTATGTGGTATGTGTAGCTTTATAGCTAATATGACATGTGTTATGTGGATTGTGTGCGGGGTATGCTCTGGGGAACTCACTGAGCATTAGCTTACAGGTTGTGGATTTGTTCCAGGTACATCAGATCCTAAGGACAAGGACAAAGCGTGATGGCATGTCGTGCACTCTCATACATGCATTTTGTGGGACGCTTTGATGTTTTTAAATAAAGTTGTAATGAATGTGGATTTTAAAACAATTGTTTTGGGATTTCATGGTTTATGGAAATGTGTTTGATTAATAAAAAAATTGAAAAAAAAAATTCTTTTGAAAATTGGGTCGTTACAAAACACATTAAGTAGCCTCCATTACCCTCAGAACCCATTCTCGAAACCCTAATCAACTGTGAGTGTTCTTGAGCTATTTTGGTGCCATTTTTGTGATTTAAAGCTTGGAGAAGGAAGGAAAGGCTTGGAGGTTCAAGAAAAAGGCAGTAGATCCAAAGTATTGGTTGCATTTCCAGCTTGTTTAAGGTAAAAAGCTTCAACCTCGACTTCCCATATGTTAGATCTTCTTTAGGGCTTGAATCTTGTCATTTTTGGGGCATTTCTAAGTCACCTTCGGGTATTGAGCGTAATGTAGAGTGTTGACTTCAGATCTTGAACCTTGGAGGGTTCTTATGGCATAAAGGTGCCAACTTTTTTGCTATAAGAGTCTCATGCATCATATAAACCTCTTTTTAGGACCATTTGTGCCAAATACCCCATGCATGAATGTCAAGTTTGTAACTTTATGTGTAATATGGACCCTAGGAGGTCAGATCTATGTTTTGGATGCATTAAGACCAACTGTACTTGACTGGATAGTTTTAGAGATAGAAGGACTCGACGAGTCGTTCATACGACTCGGCGAGTCGGGTCGTAGTTTTCCCCAAACCTCTTATGTTAATGGACAATATGTTGAGTTAGAAGAACACTCAGCCAGTTGGGTTCATTGTGGACCTGAAGATCATGGAACTCGGCGAGTTCAAGACTAAGCCCCAACTGCATGAAGGAGAAATCGACGAGTCGAGGACTAGATGAGCCATCTTGCATGATGAAGGAATCAATGAGTTTAAGGATGAACTCGACAAGTCAATTGTAGAAGGTCCCGACTTCGTTTAAAGAAGAACTCGGCAAGCTCTTGAAAGACTCAACGAGTAGGGTTGAAGTTTTAGCGTTCTAAGGATTATGGAACTCGACGAGTTGATTGGTCAACTCGACGAGTTAAGTCAACCAGATGTTGACTTTGACCCAGTGTTGACTTTGACCAAAGGGTTGACTTTAACTTTGATTGTGACCTGAGTCGACCCTTAAAAAGGCTTAAAAGCATGAAGTGGTAATTAAGGAAGGTTCTTATGTGTAGGAGTTGAGAGGAATTGACCCCGACATCGAGGACACTTTAGACGCAACACGACATTGAGGTGAGTTACCTTCAAGTAGAAGTGAGTCTAACTACAATCTTATAATGAAACTGTTGAAAAGGAAATTAAAAGGGTATATTGGTCTTTTTAATTTTTACAGGGATCAATTTTATAATGAAACTAGTTGAAAATGATAATGAACTAAACCTTAGAAAAAATCTGTACAACAAGATTTTTTATTTTATTTAAAAAATGTACTATTAGATTTAGATTACATTATTTTGATCGTACACAATTTTCTAGTTGTACTTCTAGACCCCTCATCTTTCCTTTCCTTTTGTCTTCTCAAAGGCAACTACGTCAATTTGGAAGCCGAAACTGAGAGAGACCAAGAGTTTCGACTTGAGGACCACCACCTCTACTCTCCTACTTCATGGCGTCTCTCTTTCAGAAATTTCAACAGGTACTCAATATCTAGATTTCATTATGCATACGCTAACGAACAATTTCACATTCGATTATCAATCCCTCAACCACGTTGCTGTAACCTTCCGTTCTGGGCATTTAGGTTTTTGCAGTTAGAATCGTCAATTTGACGCTATATTTTCGGATTTCTTCCCTAAAAACTGTTGCTATGTGGTACTTGTAAGCTTACACAGTTACACTATACTGTATTCATGAAATTCCGCTTACATTTGCTACACCTTCCGCTCTATTTTGGTAAATTGGGGTTCTGGTTGGATTGCGATCGGAGTAGTTTGTTTGCAAAATATTGAAAATGTGCTATATTAACTACGCCATCAATACTGAGAAAATACCTAAACCTTGATGATGATGGTTACTTTGGACCTCAAACTATTGTATGAATTCTGAACCTGTAGAGAAAAGGTAAATGAACTCATATCAATATGGTGCAAACATAGTTGATTGACTAGGAATTTTACATTTGAAGGAAGTAATAACTAATAGTAAGAATCAAAATAGCATATGCTACATGCCTTACAGACTTGTGTTTATGCTCTCTTCTATTTCTAGTTCGTTGCAACACTGGCAAAAAGTCCAACATTTGCAAAAGATCCAAGACGCCTTCAATTTGAAGCAGACATAAATCGCCTCTTCCTCTGTACCAGGTAAACCAACACTAACCTTCAACCATGGCTTTACTTATACTTCTACTTAGTTTTTGTTCAGATACTGTATATGATCCATGATTACTGACTTACCATTACAGCTACAATCGTGTGGGGAAAGATGCTGAAGATGCAGATATAGAGGAGATAATCAACATGGCAAGTAAAGCTGAACTAGCAGATCAAGAAAGACAAGTCCAAGAAAACATCCATTCTCAAATCACAAACTTCTGTACATCAATGGACAAAATCCTCCTTCCTGACTTCAACCCTCATGATCCATCACTTAAATCATCATCCCAACAAAACCCCACTACCCCTCGCCCTAGTGGCCTCAGTCTTGCAATTGGAAGAAATACTCCAACAAACATCAATCTTCTTGGTTAGTTTTTATTATTCAAGTCTTGAACTTTAAAACCACATACTATAATTATAATCCCTTTCTTTAGTCGAATCTTATTAATGATGAAATTTTCAGCACAGATGTACCCGAAACAAAACAGTTAACATTCACAGAAGTATCCCAAAAGTTAAAAGATGTTACAGGATACACACTTGACCTAAAACCATCTCAAATCCCTCATGAAGAAGCTGGAAGAGGTTTATTCATAAATGGTGAAGCAGATGTTGGCTCTGTAATAGCACTCTACCCAGGTGTTATCTACTCTCCGGCTTTTTACCGTTATATCCCTGGATACCCAAGAATCAATGCACAAAACCCTTATCTCATCACTAGATACGATGGGACAATCATCAATGGTCAACCATGGGGTCAAGGTGGTGAAACCCGAGAACCATGGGGTCAATCTAGGGTTTATCAGTCAAACCCTAGTTCAGAATCAGGGTCAGATCGGATGTGGAAGATGTTGAGTAAACCTTTAGAAGGGTCAAAGTTAGGGTTTAATGGTGATGAGGTGTTGGAGAGAAGGAATCCATTAGCTTTAGGTCATTTTGCAAACCATCCTCCAAAGGGTGTGGAGCCTAATGTGATGGTTTGTCCTTATGATTTTCCTTTGAGTGAAAAGGGTATGAGAGTTTATATACCGAATGTAGTGTTTGGGGGTGAAGAGGGAAAGGTAGTGAAGATGAAAAGGTTTGGGAGTTTTTGGTTTAAGTCCGGGGGGGTTTCTGACAATAATGGTGAAGTGGAAGGGCCGATTATGAAAAGTCTTGCACTTGTTGCCATGCGGCCACTTTGTAATGAAGAGGTTTATTTGAATTATAGATTGAGTAATTCCAAGAGGCGGCCTTCGTGGTATGCCCCTGTGGATGAAGAAGAGGACCGAAGAAGATGGAGCTAAGCTTACCTTACCTTAGTTGACTCCCTATTTACAATTCTTTTTAATAATTTTGAGACTTTTATTTAGAATCCAAAAGCAAATACTTGCACTCTGTTCTTATCAACGGTTATCAGCAGTAAGGAGGTGAGAATCCATAAGTAAGGTGTCAGGTTTAGAAATACGTGAAGGAAAGTGTTTTTTATTTTGAAATACAAACATTCGTTTCCTTTTTTTTTTTCTTTTTAAATTATCAAAATATTTACTGAAGTGGTTGAAACTTGTTTTACAATGTTGAAAATGTTGTGGTAGGTATAATGAAACAAAAAAAAAAGTTTTTTTGTTGTGTTTAATCCTAATAAATGTTACTGAGATAGTTGGAAATCTCTTGTTTAAATCTCATATTGTTATTTTGTGTTGAATATCAATTTATTCACATTGTTTCACAATATAATCTGAAAATGGTTAGTTTGACTTTTGCACCTTTATATCATAATAGTTGGTTGTGTTACTATTTATAGAGGTACATAGCTAACATAGATCAACTCTGGTATATTTTTATTTATGAAAAAAATTCTCAGTGGTATCACAGGTTACTCGATAAATACTTAGGGATTTTATCTTACAAATAGTATAACTTTGGTACTAAAAAGATTTTCCTTGCCAATTTTGTTATTATTTAAGGTTTTTATAATGTTTTTGTCCGTTTTCGAAAAATAAAATAACTTATTTTTAGTTGCAAAACAGAGAAACCAAAAATAGCTATTTTATTTGGAACATGGATGAAAAGTGAAAAAGCGCTACAAAAAAAACTTGAATAAAGACCAAGATTACAGAAAAAGAAAGAATTGTTTATCACCAAAATTATGAAAACAACAGCTATACTCCAAGACAAATAGATATGATTTACTTCCGGCTTAGTTCATTTTTAACTATATATCTTTTTACAAACACTTACAACGTTCCAAATTAAATATTATCATGTTTGTCAATGGTAAAAGGCTACCCCATTCTCGAAAGTCAATAATCTCGTCAAAAAATTGTTGTGTCAGAAAAATGACTTGCTAAGGTAATTACTTTTTGGTATTGTTCACGTTTAGATAACTTTATATTTTTATATAAATTTGATCGTTTAACTTGTTAAATGTGTTTAAATATTACCATTGTCACCTATAGTTGGTAATGGTAATATTTTAACATATTTAACAAGTTAAATGTTTAAATATGTAAAAAAAATTATCTAAGTTTGAATAATATTTTCACAATTTTCTTAAGATTTTTTATAATTTCTTACAATACTTTTATTATATTTTTTCCTACAGACTTTTCTAATATAATGCTTTAAACTTTGTTTATAACTTTTTTTTAACTATTTTTATATTTTAATATAGTTTTAATATAAGTACTTTGAAACCAAATATTTTATAAATGTTTAAAAATTTTCTTACAGGTTTTTAACTGTTTTTTTTTTTTTTTACAATTCATGCAATTTTTTATAACTTTCGTATAGTTATTTCTAAATTTTCTTTTACAATATTTTTAAAGTATTTCACATATTTTGTATTACAATTTAATATTTTTTATAACATTTTAAAATACTTTCATTAAATACCAGTTTAAAACGTTGTATTATAAAAAACTAAAAGTTTATAAACTTCTAATTAAAGAGTATTAAAAAGTTGTAATAATTTAAAAACATTTACATTATATGATTTTTTTTGTTTTTTATTTGCTAAGTAATATTTTCTTTTTATTTTTTTAAAAGACTCTCCATACTTATTGTTACATATTTAATTTATTTAATTTTATTGTTAGATGCTATTTACTTTAAAAATATTGTATATGTTTAAAAACAAATATATATATATATATATATATATATATATATATATATATATATATATATATATATATATAAGAGGCTATATAAAATATTTCACAAAACAAAAGCATATTTATTAATTAAAATATAAAGTTTAGAATTGATTAATAATTAATTAATATTTAGGAAATTATAGATCTTTTAAAAATAACGTTTGAAAAAAAGAATACAAACAAATATGAAAAACAAAATCTGAAGAAAATGACTTATCATGGTAATTAAACTTTCTTATTGTTCACATTTAAACAACTTTATTTTTTATATATATTTAACCATTTAACTTGTTAATATGTTCACATATTATCATTGTCATCCGCTATAGCCGGTAATAATGGTAATATGTGAACACATATAACAAGTTAAATGGTCAAATATGTACAAAAATAAAAAAGTTGACTAAATGTAAACAAAGCGACAAAGATGATTTAGAACTTATTTATAAATTTATTCATTTATTCAAATACTATATGATGACGTGCCTAAGCCAGCACGGCAAAACCACGCCCTGGCCAAGGCCTTAGCGCCGGCCAGGCCAAGCTTAGTAAGCTCAACGCCAGCTAGCGTCGCTGCGAGCAGGGCACCTCGACAAAAGGCCAGCACCCGCTAGGAATACTCCTGGCGTCCCAGCAAAAGGTTCGCGCCAGTTACTGGACACTCCCAACTCCAAGACAAAAGATACGGCCAGGAGACGAACAACATAATCAGGCCATTACCATCAGGGCCAATGAGAGTGCTCTAACGGTTAAAGGCGCATGATCCTCCAATTAGCGCCCCTGATCTTGTCTCCCCAAAAAGGCGATCTTGTTTAGTACGGACTAGGCAAGAGCGTTAGGTATAAAAGGTAAGCACTATTTCATTGATAAGATACACACAGAAAAAACCCTAGTAGCATTATAACTTGACCGTCGGAGCGTTCTTCCGGGAGCACCCTCCATGGAACTGCTGACGGCTTTCTTCTCTTGATATTTTGCAGATGCGACGAGGAATCTAATTCAACAGCCTTGGATAGGTCAAGTTCGCCATACGCATCGTTTGGAGCCATCCGTTTGTGAGATGAAGAACACAAACCAAAAGCAACTCTGAAGAATCAATGGCATCCGACGACGGCGAGGGACACGGTGGACGTCAGACTAGCCCGATACGTTCCATGCTAACGTTGGACGAAACACCGCTGCCTCCGACAACCAACAGAGCAACCTCGGGTGAGGGAAGCTCCACAATAACCACCAATGTCGTCTCGTAACCCACAACCCACCGGCCGACAGCAACCTATGTGGGGCCATTGTTGACCACTTCTCTTCAATCGCTGCCATTCTTTGTACCACCAACGCAACAACCGCCATCGGTTCATTCAACACCGCTACCATCATGCTAGGTCCTCAGTGTCCAACCACCATTACCGGTGTCACCGTTACACCAAATGTCCGGCGGACCGGGTCCAATGCTTACGCTACCACCACTTGCACAAATGATGGTAGCCCACACACCGCCCATATATTCCATGACGGGCAGATGGACCAGACCTACCATTGCTCCAAGCCACAACATACAACAGAACTCAATGCTTACGCCGTTAGCACTAATACACCCTTTCTCTTCTGGCTATCCTCTCCAACTGCCATTCCAACAACACTCCTTTTATGGCCCAAGTCTTGGGTATCATGCGTCGTCGTCGTATGGTCCAAACCATCAATACCAACTGCAAGGGGCGACAGCAATCCCAAATCAAGATTGTCTCTCTCGCAGCCTCATATCCACATTCATCAAGGAATTGCTGGATTACGAAATACCCAACACAGCTAAGCTGCCAACACTCAAGACCTACAATGGAACCACTGACCCAGATAGCCATATTGACACATATGAGTGGACAATGACATCCCTGAAGCTTGACGAGAGGTTTTGGTGCACCTAATTTCCGACGAACCTTGGCAATGCGGGCACGTGGTTCAAGACGTTATGCCCAGGTAGCATCTCCAACTTTGCACAGCTCAAATACTTGTTTTTGAACAACTTTATGCAGTTGCGTAAGTACAAGGGAGACTCCCACTCACTAATAGGCTGCAAGCAGAAGGAGAGTGAGACTGTACGAGAATGTTTCACAAGGTTCATCAACGCCACACTAGATGTGCCGTGATACGACGAAGGACTCATAGTTGACGCCTTCACATGGGGACTCTTACCATGCCCCTTATCGCAAAAACTTATGGGTAAGAAACCCCAAATGAGAGTATAGCTAAAAGAGAGGGTAGAACGATACTTGCGGCAGGAGGAAGGCGAGGCAACAAAGCAGGCATACCTAAATGTTATGACAACCAAGCGCCACAACCCAGGCCACATAGACTTCCATGGGGGAAGTAGACATTTCGGCCTAGGAAGGAGGCCTTAGGCGCGGTTTCGACCATTCATTGGAGACGACATATGGGGTCGTCGACCGGATGTATACACGGTTTCGAAGAAACAACAACCAGCCAAGTCACCCAAGAGTCGATATTGTGAGTATCACAAAAGCAAGACACACGATACTGCTAGTTGTTCGGTGCTCAAGAAGGAAATGGAAGAAAAACTGCTCAAGGGAGGCCTGGTGGAAATAGCACGAAACCTACACGCCAAATTCGAGGTCGAATACACAAAGAACACGTCGCGAGATGGGGTCCAACCAAAGGAGATATTCATGGTACGCAACAAACGGAGTGGGGATGAGCAAGTGGCTAACCAATGGATTCCCATGCCCAACAAGAACACTCACGTTCTCTGCGCAAGACCCTAGACCGGAGGGATGGAGAGGCAATAATCCGCTAGTAATCCAGGTCTCCATTAAGGATGTGATCATACAAAGATTCTATATCGACACAGGGAGTTCGACAGAAATAATTAATGAGCATTTTTTCCGACTCCTCCCGGATTGCTGGAAACACAGTTTAAGACCTACGGCGGGGAGGCTGGTCGGATTCATCGGTCACAGCCTATGGCCGTTATGAACAATTCATTTCCCCTTGATGATAACTAGCCATGACAAGCTACAAAAGAAAACGATCGTGATCGACTTCATTGTCATCCGACACCCTGCGGAGCACAACATCATCTTGGGGAGAACAACCATCCTACAGTTGGGAGCGGTCCCATCGACCATGCATGAAATCATGACGTTCGACACCTCGGTTGGTCCGTGTACAATACTTTCCACTCCACACAAAGAATTACAATGCCTTACAGTCATGAAACCAACAGAGATAACCAAGGAGACGAAGAAGCTGTGACATGACCCTGCAAAAGGCAAAGAAGTAATTAATGAAAGATATCCCGGTTAGCTAGTCAGTATCGGCCATAATCTTCCAGGCCACGTAAGAAAAGCAATGGTGGACCTCCTTAAGCGATACAAACATGTGTTTGCATGGACCCCTATGGATATGGTGGGGTAGATAGGAAGGTCATCAATCATAAACTCATGATCAAACCAGGGGTAAAAGAAGTCAAGCAGAAAAAGAGGGTCCAGGGAGGGGACCGTAACACGACGATTAATGCAGAGGTAGTTAAATTGACGGAGGTCGGGATAGTAAGGGAAGCAATTTTACCAACCTA